GAAGGAAGTTTAGAAGTCAAACTTCCGACAATATGGACAGATGGAAAAGCAGAGGTGGGAAGAGTCAGAGAAGAGAAGAGAAGAGAAGCGAAGCGAAGCGAAGCGAAGAGAAGCGAAGAGAAGCGAAGAGAAGAGAAGAGAAGAGAAGAGAGAAAGAGTCAAAAGAAAGAAGATTCAGGTGCGCGAAAAGGTAGAAAAGTCCCAATTCACTGTGTTTTTTCCAATGATTTGTGGCTCCGGAGGGTCGAAAAGTAGGCTCGCTTAAGCGGCGGGTGCAGAGCCATGTGGCCAGATAAGATATGAAAAGTTGCGCACCGTTGTAGCGCGAAGCACATTTCGAAGTCAAAATGTACAAAATACACCAGGTTCAGAGTTCAGAGCACTTTTGGAAGTTGAGTTGTTGAAAAAGTGCACACAGTTGTGGCGCGAAGCACATTTCCAAGTCGAAATGTAGAAAACACCTCACGTTGGAAGGCCATGGCAAAGGGGGCGAAGAAAGGGGGCAAGAGCCGCACTGTTTTCCTGGCTGTCAAATCTGGCGGCAGAAACCATCAGAATACCAGGGCATTTTGCGTTGAACGTCCAAAAAACCAACTGCCTGGAAAGCCAAGTCGTCACAAAAAAACGTGGCACTGAAAAAAGTCGCCAGGAAATAGCGCGTGCGCATGAAAGTTGCAAATTTCCTTTTTAGAGCATCTCAAACCTTGGCTCAATAGCTTGAATATTTTCACTTTAGCCTAGAACTAGAAGCAGAAGTTGGGCACTGACAAGCTGCTGTTGTCTTGACAAGGAAGTGGACAAGTTGACAAATGGTATTATAATGTAAGGTCTATTTCCCCTTACGTCCTCATGGAGCGAAGAGGAGTTCCGGGTTTCTCGGAATGTCATGGGTGCATGGTGTAAACGAGTTTACGAGTCAACTGGTCGTGATGCGTATAAATACAAAATGCATGCAATGTATATAATGTATCCAAATGTCATGCGCAAACTAGACTAGGCCCAACAAGAGCATACGAAAGCGATCTTTGAACCAAAAAGCGTACAAAAGCGTACAAAAGCGTACAAAAGCGCACAAGAGCGAAACAGAAGCGTACACACGTGAAACAAAAAGCGTACACACGTGAAAAAAAAAGCGTACAAAAGCAAACAAATAAAAACAACTTTAAAAAGACATTGCTAACCAAAGAAAAAGGATGGAACAGGTAGCAAAACAAAAGTGGAGAACTTGGTGCTAACGTGCATCATGCGCATTTTTCTAGAAAGTACAATCTCCGAAGTTGCGAACATAAAGACAATTTGCGGCAAAGAAACAAACAATGCAAAACAAAAAACGAACCAGAAATCACAGAAAAAGTCTATAGCAAGATGTTGCAAGTTTTTGGTGAGAAACTTGCGTACTATTGTGTAATGTTGTGTATATTTCCATGCCAGGACCTGCCTTCTGTTGTTTTGGTGGTCAAGCTGGATAGCATGCGGCCCCCATCAGCCACTTGCAGTAGGAACGCTTTGCACTTTCTTTATAGAAGCAAATGAAGGAGGCACTATTGCACTATCGAAAGATCATGTGTGTTTTTTGTTTTCCTCTGATATTCTCGGACGTTCTTTTAGATTAAAGAGTTTCTTCCTAAGTTTGCTTTCCATGCCCAGCAGAATGCTCAAAAATGACAGAAAAGAATCCCCTACGCAATGCATACCAACAAAGTATCCACATTTTCGTTCAGTTGCTACTTGGTCGCCGTGAAAATTTTGGGCGCCGCAAAAAAGTGGTAATAAGTAATGGAACACTACAACCACAGCTACAACCACTACAGCTACAACTACCACTACACTACAACTACAACTACAACTACCACTACAACTACAACTACAACTACAAACTACACCACACCACACCACACTACATTCAGCAGTTGTGGGTGAGGTGACCACTGCAACCACTCCAAAAAGCACAAATCCAACCACGTTTCGGTCCATCAGTGGATTCGCTCTGCCATCCAAGCATCACAAGTCTTTGAAACTTCCGCCACCGCCTTGTGCGATACTACTGGTATCAAACATAAAATTGCAGATACATCACGTCTCCTCAGTAAAATACAAGAATGTACTGGATCCATTTACTTTGGAGTCCCATCAAAATGGCATAAAAAGGCCATCGTAGAATGGCATCATTCGTGGGATTCATTATGATCCCATCTCAAAATAGGCTCAGCCAACAAGGACCTGCTTTGACCACCGTTGATTTTACGGATCTCACCACTGGGATGTTAACCACCTGGAAAAGGCTGGATCATCGACCAGAAACATGGTGTTTAGCCTCTCTCCGAGCGTAGTCTCCCCCCTAGACTTGCGCTAGACTTGCGCAAGACAAATGAGCGTAGAGGTTTCACCGACTCTATGAGTCCAATCCCCATCTTTGATTCCTAAATCCGACTGTAAATCCCCTGAATCTTGGCGAAATCAACACTTTTCATGATAAAAATCCACCAAAGTGCTATGGCCCGATCTCCTCCCGAGAAGACCACTGGACTTCGGCCAAGGCCAATTCAGCCTGCCGGCGGCCTGCCATGAGTCGTGACAAACAGGGAGATATTCAACTTGAAAAATCTTGGAATACCATGGTGAATCTATCCAAATCTTGAAAATCCTGAAAATCCTGAATGGGAGATAAATACCATGGTAATAGGCAGATAAATCTTGAAAATCCTTCAAAAATACCGACATGTTGTGGAACCAATTGGGAAATCCGCCACGGAACTGACCAGCCAAGGAACTGAAGCCGTCGCTCTGTAGGGCTTCGATCATTTCATCCTCCCTGTCTTGACCTGGCCTTGGATCATCTGTTAAACAGGAGCACGTCCCAAGTAAGGGGTGCCCAAAAAAAACACCGGTGGGTCCCAGTGGGTATGATGTATATTCCACACTGTAACAGTGTAACCACTGATCGGTTTTGTTCGATTTTTTGCATATATATACCCAGTGTCACACTCTTACATAAGTTGCTAATCAGTTACCAGTACTGGGATGCACAGCCAGCTATATATCCACCCTGTGTCATTGTGCCGCCATTCCAACTAAGGTCGTGTCCCTTCGTCGAAGAAGCTTCTGGCAGATTGCACAAGTTTCGCGTGTTTGAACAAGAAAAAAAAAACTCTCAGTTGCGAATCGTACGTGGAAATAGAACTCCCTCAATTGAAGAAGATGGTCCCTTGAAATGCTGATTGCGAAATTTGGTTTTCCTCATTAACCTTGAAGTTTGAACGCTATATATATACATCCCTCAATGCTAAGACATAAGACCGCAAAGAGATGTGAAAAACTTACTGCCCAAAACATGTGGTTTGCCACACGTTAGACTGTCGAGGCCACCGGGCACAACTCCGAAACAGATCAACACATAGGCACCTCTTGCCATATACAGAGGCATCCTGGGGGTTGAAGCCCATACACTCGACGCTCTGCGCAGGACTGCCCTGACGGTTCTTTTGCGGAAAACACGAATGTGGTGAGTTCAATACCAGGAAACCCACAGCATGAGGCCTTTTTGGATAGTAAAATATGGTAAAATGCCACGGAAAAATCTCTGTCAAAGTTGTCAAAGTGTCTTTTCCTCCAAAAAAATGCCAAAAAAATCCCAAAAGCGCCTCGCCCTCGCTTCGAGTCTCACTTCTCGCCACCTCGCTGTACTTCGGAGCTGGCGGAGCTGCTAGCTGCACCCGGCGTTCTTTGGCCAGGTGCGACATCACCTGCCATGGCAAAAAAAAGGCCAAGGACAGATTTCTCCGGAAATCAAACCGATGTTTTCATGTTTATTTATGTTTTTTCGTTTAATGATCTTGTTCACCCTTCAGAGACCGTGTTTTGAGTTTCATTTAAAAGTTGTTGCTGCTTTAAGCCTCATTGTTAAGGTCCCGTTTAAGAGCCCGGTTAAGTGGATGGTTAGACAAACCCACATATCATCTTGCCTGCTAAATATATCCCAATCAATGGTATATCCCCATCAATCACCCTTTGTTGTGGTTGATAATCCCATATTGAACACCCGCCAGAATCCATGGTAAAAAGTACGGGGATGAAATCACATATTTTTCATATATTTGGGACCATTATGTTATGGGGATATAACTAATATGAACCGAGGATGAGATTAAACCCTATATTAAACCCCTTAAGCCAGCATTGTTGATGGTTAAATCCCCCCAAAATATCATGGTGTTGCTGAAAAATCTCCCATTTAATCCCCATTAATGTGGTTAAAACAATGTCATAAAACCATCCCCCAGAAAAATCACCATTTTTATAGGTGGTATAAACTTACCATTCCCAGTCATGGGTGGTTTATGACATTGTTTTAAGCACATTATTATATCACTATTATTATTACCTGTGAAACTACGTCAGAAAACCCCATCTGTGACCTCCCGCATTGGACTCCCATTGGACTCGGAAGTTCAGGTCCAAGGTGCTATCGCCATACTCACGAAACCATAGCCTGGCAAAGAACCGAGACATTTTATCTGGAAAAATGTGGTGATTTCACCATAGAAATCACCAATAAAGATGAGGAGACCAGCAAAAAACTGGGAAGTTGAGGAAGAAAACTGTGGATTTCACAATTTTTTCACCTTGTTGAACCAACAGCAAAAACTGCGCAAAAAAAAAAACCGAGTCGAACCTGCAAAGCTGGTCCAAGTCAGCTCTTCGGGCAAGACGAGGTGTTGATACAGCAGCCCCAACAAGGGGCATAACATGTAGTGGATCACCGAAGCTGAGGCTATTCTTGCCTGGGAAGACCATGCCATTTAACTGATTTAACTGCGTAATGTGTGGGGTTCACTGAGTTATAAATGGATGACCCATGAATGTGTGGGAACTCTTTAGATTTTCGCAGGCGAAGAAAAACCACCAAAAAACTCCCTGTAATTCCTCTATAAACAGAACCTTGTGACCTTGAAACCCACCAGAAATGAGAAAATAGAAGGCCACATTTGAAAGTCATCATCCAGGCCCTGAAAAAAACTGACCTTTTGCATCTTCCAAATGATCAGCAACACTCAATCTGATCATGCCGACGCCCGCTGGATGGACCTTGCTTCCCCAAGAAATCCCCCAATATCTCCGAAATAAACCTCCCTTGATCCCCCAAAAGTCTCAAAAAAACAGAAACCGTTCCACAAGAATCAAAAAACTGTCAAAACTGTTCCAAAGAAACTCACAAAGACACATCAATTGCCCAAAACGGGCTGCAAAGCCGAGCCGACCGCGCCTGCTGCATGCCCTTGATCTGTGCGATCTGCGAGGCGAAACCCAACAAGGACAACAGCAGCGCCACCCCCAGCTGCTGCTGAGTGAAGAGCCTAAACGACAGAGCTGTGGAGGTGTGCCTCGAAAACCATGGTGATATGATAGGAATATCATGGGATGTATATATATATATAGAGATATAGACAATCATATGATACATATCCACCATGTTCAAGCCATTTATGGAGGAGTTCACCAATGATAATAAATATATATATATATACATGTATGAATGTATGATGGTTATATAGTGGGTATATAATGGGTATATAACCAACAAAATAATGGAAATATGGAATGGAATAATTGGATTGAAATTGAATATATCACCAACAATGCGATATTGGTTGGAATTTAACCATCAACAATGGTGGTTTAATGGGAGTTTAATCAGGCATATGCTATATAATGGGATGAATGAGGAAACTAATCCGCAAAAGATACATATATATATATATAATTTATATTTAATGGAATACAATGGGTATGCAACCAACAACATGATATATATATATACACGTTATGATCATCCATCCCATTTCATAGGAATCCACACATAATGTGTATTGGTAATTGATATCTTTAAATGTCTATGGAAAGACTGGGAAAATGTGCGATTGAATGGGAAAATCGTGATTTTGCTGGGATTTTAACCAGCCAAAATGGGGAGTAAACCAACCATAGTGGTTAAATCCATGCAAAATCAGCAACAAAGCTGTGGATGAATCATGGAGAATTGGTATACGTGACATGTCGCTATGGAAAATGACCCATGTTTTTATCGATGATTCACCTATCAACAATTATGATGTTCCATACTTATGTTCCACTATCAGAGGGTAATATATCTAGGTTCATAAGTAGGATTTCTGTTGGATCTATGGCGATTGTAACTATAGTTATTGATAAATCACTATTATGGTTTATAACTAGTTATTGATAGTTATTGATAAATCACTATTAATAAATCACTATAGTTACTGATTGATAGTTACAGTTATAGTGTTTGGGTTTGTAACTCTTCTATGGCTTCGAGTCAAAAAGTGATCCCAATGCCTTAACTGGAGCCACCACCCACATGGCTTTTTTTCTGGGATGTTCAATAGGAGCATATTGATATATTGAAAATAACTTGGATATATAACTTTTATATACTGTAGCTAAAAAAAATGATATCGTTTTGTTTTGACATACATGTTTCATAATTCACCGACCTAAACAGCTAGGTCATTTGGGGAGATTTACCCACTGCAATTCCCACCATTCCAGTGCCGGAAAACGACGTTTTTCGGTCGTGATCACAGTTTTCTAGATCTATGGTAGCCCAACATAAAACATGCAGCACAGAAAAATCCAGTTCTAAAATAGTGATGTTTATTACATCTTGTGGGGATTTGATAAAAATATAACGGGGATATATAACCACTTGATGAGGATATAACCCCATATGAGATGGGATTCAATACTGTTATGGAATTGATAATTCAGGAAATGTGCGGACAATATCTGATGGGATATGTTGCAAATTTGACAAGGGTAATATGACCAACCATACTGGGGATCATACGGAGGTTTCCTGAAATGGGGGACCCTAAAATCTTCCCAAATGTGTCATTTTCAATAGGGCATACGGAAAAACAATCGTTTTTTGGGTACCCCAATTTCAGGAAACACCCATGTATTAGCACCATATCACAATATGAAAATCTGGGTATGTCTGAAAATGTGTATCCAATGAAAAAACACCACGAACGAAAACATTTCAGAAATCACAAGAAATATCACTATTACAATAATTATTCGAAAAATCATGGGAACCTTACAAAAATATATCACAAAAATGGAATGGTTGTACAATACAAAAATGAACAAAAATTGTAGTCCTAAGTCCTATGCATCTTATTTTTATCCATGTCGATTTTGGAAAATAAGAGTTTTTATGGATAGTCCAAATGTTAACCCCTGGCTAAACCACTACGGGGTTTAGCAAACCAGTTGTATTCAACAAGTTACATTAGCGTCAGCAAAAAATCATCCAGAACTGGGATTCCGAGGGCTTCCGCCCGTGTCCCCGTGTCCCCTCCATGGGAAGAACCCCGTTTTTTCTCATGGGAAACACCTCCAAACCTCCAGGCGATCCCAACGGAGCCCGGCCCGGCACCTCAGAGGTTCTCCGGACACGGCGAAGGCGAAGGGCGAGATGATGAGTTGTCCCAACGCTTGCGCCAGCACCACCGATGGCCATGACACCTGCACTGTGGCAACAGCTCGGCCACCACTCAGTAGGAGTAACTGAGCCCACTCGGCCCCCCCAAAAAATGACTGTCATTAACTGGGATCGAAGATTTTTGAAGCCCAGAACTGAGATTAAGATATCGACATACCCTCTGCTAATCATACGAAGCAAAATATATATATATATAATTATATTATATATATAGTATATTATATATAATATACATATATATATATATTATATTATATATATTATATATATGTTATTATATATATGTTATTATATATATATTATATATATTATATTATATATATATATTATATTATATTATATATATATATTATATATATAATATATATATATTATATATTTTATATATATATATTATATATATTATATATATATTATATATTCTATTATATATATATTATATTATATATATATTATATATTATATATATATTATATATTATATATATATATATTATATATTATATATATATTATATTATATATTATATTATATATATATTATATTATATATATATTATATATATTATATATATTATATATATATTATATTATATATATATATTATATTATTATTATTATTATGATTATTATTATTATATATATATATATATTATTATTATTATTATATATATATTATTATTATTATATATTATTATTATTATTATATATTATTATATATTATTATTATTATTATTATATATATAATTATTATTATTATTATATATTATTATTATTATTGTTATTATTATTAATTATTATTATATATTATGATTATTATTGTTATTATATATATATCGATGAGTTTCAGTTTGTGGATTAGAGGCTTTCCAGGCCTGGTTTGGTTACCAAATAGAAACCAGAGAAAAACCCTTCTGCCACTTCAACTATCAATCCAAACCTCCGATCAGATTGTTGGCTAAATCTCTGATGAATATATGCTAATATCCCTGGCTGGCTGAATCCCTCTTCTTTCTAGCAAAATCTCCCACACGTGGTGCCTTTGTTTGATGGTTAGACCTTCATTTTTTGTATGTTTGCCGATTCAACCTCCATGGTGTTTGGTTCAACCCAGATTTTTTGATGTGATCCTCATCTTTTAGGCTTCATCATATTTTTTGTCTAGTTATATCCCAATTTTCATGGTTAATCTCCATTTCTATGTAATCACTCCCAATGTTGTTGAAGTCCATCCATTTTTGCTGGTGAAATCTGAATGTTTGCCAGCATGTCATCACTGAAATCTCCTTTTTTCTAATGTGGTTAAAACAATAATAAACCATCCCCCAGTCATCACCATAAATAGGTGGTATGGTTACCATTCCCAGTCATGGGTGGTAAACATGACATTGTTTTAACCACACTAAGTTAAATCCTAGTTTTTGCCAGCATGTCATCACTGAAATCTCCATTTTTTCTAAGTGAAATCCTAGTTTTCCTAGTTTTTCTTGGTAAAAATCATCGTTTTCCTAGTTTTTCTTGGTAAACCCACCGTGTTTCCCTGGGTTTTTTCATCATTTTGGTCCACGCCTTGACTCGGCCCACCCAGTGGATCACCAAGGTTTCCGCCGCAGCGCCGGTGGAGAGACAGCCCAGCAGTCCACAGAGGAAGCCAACGAAGTGACGGAAAATGGCGAAACTGCTCAGCGGCCTCAGAGTTTCGGTTCGAAATCACCAGTTTTCGGAAGGGGATTTTTCAGATAACCATTCTGGAAGGGGATTAAAATGATTTTTCAGATATGGGGATATAACTCATATGATCTTTTTCGTATGTGAAAAATCTGAGTGAGTTTATCTGCCCAGCGGTTCAGTGGTATAGTATGTTTACCATTCCCAGTCATGGGTGGCGTGTTTTTTGTATAGGTGGTATAGTAAAAACCATTGTCACCGCTGGTAAAAATGACATGGTAAAACCCATGGATTTCATCGGGTTTTAAGATGGTTTAATGGGAGCACACTGGGAATTGAAAAAAACATGAACAATCCAAAAGGTTGTCATCATGTTCATGTTCCTTCTCACTTCGATGGCCTCTTGGGAAAAATCCCATGGTTTATCCACTTGCATTGGGAGTAGATGGGATGGGAAAGCATGGGATGCATACGATGCCAAATTGTTTGGGCAGGCCATGCTTTCCACAGAAAAAACCCTGTTGTTCGCAATTGGGGAGCGTGGAGCAATGCGCCACATGCTAGTGACACACTATCTAGCCCCCACCCATCTCATAGGGGGGTGGGGTGTGTAAACTATATCTTACATAGAGCCCCCTACATACAGGGTACATACAGGACCATGACCATGGCATGGGGGGGTGGGGGGCGGTTGCTGGCCGGGGCCATATATACACATTTGTCTTCAAAGAAATATCTAAACATTACACCAACCCCGAGCAAATCATACACGCTGTGTGTCTCACCTGCATGGTCCCACGCAGACACATTTAGCAGCGCCACACCTCTCTCACAGCTGGCGCCGAGGGTGCAGCTGCTTCTTCATGTTTGGATACAGATACGTACATACGCATGCATGCATGCAGCACAGCACGTATATATATATATATATTATACGTATGTATATAACTGGAAATTGATGTTCTAACAATAGAATATGTATATTTTGCAGAAGTTTAATCATCCAACTAATGACTGGGTTGTCTGCAAATCTGGTACCTCAAAATCTTGTATGTTATGTTGCTATCATTTGCCCCAAAATTGCACTCCTCGGGTGGACCCCTTCTTTTGGGACCCGCCACATCTCATTATTGTTGGTTGTATAGCCCATCAGATCCCACTGTATCACCATGATATGCGAACTGCTTCTGGTTTGTGAACTGGTTGCTATTCCAACAGTCTGGATTGTTGGTTGATCATGGTTGATCCCAGTTCCATAGTAGAACCCCATTCTGAAAAGTTAATATAGATGGTAGATCCCCATACTTGGCTGATCCCATTTCCCTCGATAGACTCCCATTGGACGGAGTGGCCCTGGGGGCTTGCTCAGGAAGCCAAGCCCGAAGAGGGCTGTTGAAGCACTGACTGTGTCAGACACATGCCAGGCTTCCTGCATGGGGATTTAGCTGATCTTTAAGTAACAATCATATCTGGTTGGTGGGAGAAACCTACCCCTCTGAAAAATGATGGAGTTCGTCAGTTGGGATGATCATTCCCAACATATGGAAAAATAAAAAATGTTCCAAACCATCAGCCAGATATGCCGCTTGAATCAAGAAAAGTAGGGATTGAGCCATGAAAAATGGTGAGCTCACCAACCCAGAGGTGGATCTAATCAACAAAAGTTGCGATTTAGCAATTAATCATGGTGTCCGAGAACATCAGGGGTGCTTCCCAGTGACAAAGTGACACTTCACCTATATCCTCTGGTAATCTAATCTGAATTTTCTGGAAAATCAACCACAAGAAATATCCATCTAGATACTTCGGTGAGGTTCTGGTCACAAATGATGATTTTCCATTGCAAATCGTCACATAAATCGGTGACATCTCAGTCAAATCTGTAGGAACTGCTCCCAATCTCACACTAGAATCCCCAACAATAGATGGCTAAAGCTTCACCCTTATTTGCCCTTAAACTCCCATTTGTTAATGGGAAAATCATGATTTTTCAGGGAGATGTCTCAGGAATCACCAACTTTTACTCAACTTCCACCTGCACCCAATCCCACCTCCAATACGCCCCAGCCCAAAATTTGCCAAAAGATTGGAGCCGTCTGCCCTAGAATCAGGGCGTCCTTGGTGCTCATGGATCAAGTTGGACCTTCTCTGAAAATTGACCCTGGAATCCATGGTTGACCCATCTCCCCCCGAAAAAAAATTGACCTTTTTTGGGGTACATCCCAAGCGTCAACTAACCCAAATGTTGCTTGTGAAAAAGTTGTACATCATGAAAATATCTCCCACTACATCGCCATATCACCAATTGTTGCTGCTTATAATCCCAATGTTTAAAGTTTGATTGATGTCTATCACTTTTTGTGGTTGGTCGAATCATTTTTGCAGTCCTCCATGTTGTTTTTCGCCCCTTGTTTCTATCCCATCATTAGTTCTTTGATCCTGATGTTTGTTTCTTTCTGACACATATCTCAGTCATATCTCCATGTTGGTTTTTTATATGGATAAAATGGACTACCCTCCGGTAAATTAACATGACGACCCTGGCAGTCATCGGGGTTGGGTTTGATGAGTTTCCTCTATAAAAACTGGTGATTTTCAGGGTCAACCAGTTAATTTACCAGAGGGTATCATCACCATTACCCTCTGGTAAACTAACATAGCTATTGAAAATGGCAATTTATAGTGGATTTTCCCATTAAAAATGGTGATTTTCCATAGCTATGTTAAATTACCAGAGGGTAAACTCAGCAAAAAGGGGTGATGTCGTCCATGTCGTTTTGCAGGTCCCTGGACCGATGGACCGACGCCAGGTCACTGCAAACGGTATCAGCGAGATGGACATGAAACAAAAGCCTCGTGCGTTTCACGCGCGGGGCGAAACGAACTTTTTGGGTCAAAAATCACATGTATTCAAAAATTGCATATCAAATATCTATGTCATCAAAAAACGAAATATAGCGATTGTTTGATTTGTTCATTGATTGGTTCATTGATTCATTGCCGAAGTCTGGACCCATATCCATTTAACCAACAAGAACTGTGGATGCTGATCATTTCCTCCATTGACTTGGCGTGTTTCTCAAAAGAAAAGGTGCCAACTTTTCCTTGACTGCCAAAGGATCACATTTCTTAGTTCACTCATACTTTTTCCCTGCTTGAACCCTCATTTTTGCTGACAAAATCCATTTCAAGTCCATTCAAAATCCATGAAAATCGCAAGATCCCACTCAAACCCCCGAATCCCATGAAGAAAAATTCCCCTGTTGTACTCCCATTTTTCCATCCCAAAAAAACCTCTTCAGTCACCGGCATCACCATTTTCAGTCAAGGTGGCACAAAGCGCAGTAGCCCAGCACGGCACGGATGAAGAGCGCCTGGTACTCCAATAGGCTGGTGCCCAGCCAGGTCTCTAGCGGCTGGCCACGGAGCCAAAGGCAACAGCCCAAGCCCTGGCAGGAAATTCTCGGGGGAAAATCTGGGAAAAACATAGGTTTTTTTATGACAAAACTTGGGGAAATCCCCTGAAAAAATGTTGATGTTTAAAGGAAAATCATCTGTACATGCGTGATTTTCTTTTGCCACGTTTGATTACCAGAGAGTAATATGAATGAAAATAACGATATATAACGAATAAATAAGAATTGCAAATTGAAATGTTCATGATTTGAACAATGATACTGATAATCATCATCATGATGACAATAACACTGATAGACTGATAGTCACAACAACAATGATGGATGGATGGATGAATGAATGAATGATTGAAGCAACGCACCCAAATGCTCGGCAACAAGCCTTCAAGCCCCTGCCAAGCCCCTGCGACAAACTGGTCCTCACTAATGAAACCACCAGTATTCAGTACATGTACGCGCAACTACGACAATTTCTAGTCATGGCCCAACCTCAAAAAAAATTGTTGATCCGTAGAATCCGTAGGTTGGATTCTACATTCCCTTGTCAAAATGAAAGTAAACGATGAGAATAGCCTGTCATCAGTCGGTTGACCCAGCAATTTCCATTCATGTTCGGGAAAGTGATGATCAGGCACGGAAAAATATCAGATTACATTCACATCCCCATGAGTTGAATCAGCTCACCCAGGCCATGCTGAAAACCGCCTGACAGCTACCTCGCAGCAGCAGCAACTGAAAGGTGCCAATGCCCCGCTGGGTCAGCCAGCGCACTAACAAGGCCTCCCACGTGGGAAGTGGTGGATTATGGAGTATGAATTTGGTGGATTTTTCAAATATGGAACTAATCCTCAAGGTTTGGAGTATCAATTTTCTGTTTTGGGTTCAAAAAAAATCGCTATTTCGTCAAAACCCTGGTGCCATTTGGGCCCGAAAATATCTGGGTCATGGATGTTCTTTCTTCCCCCCTTTGTGACGAAATAGGATTTGACTCATCCCCAGATGATTTTGCAGATACCTAGCTGGGATACAATGGGGATATAACCAATAAGATTGAGATGATCAAAAAGGATAACGGTAGGAATGTGTCATCATCAAAAAAAAATAATACAATAATACAACAATGATAGCAGATACAATGTTTTTTTGGGGGCATATACCGGGATATACTGGGGATACAACTAACGGACCAACAAAGATATGGACATAACGGGTATAAACAACCATAATCACTGGGATCGTAGATACTTGGGTATATACTCCCAATTTATGGCCAGCATGGCCAAAGTATCAATGAGTGGGAGTCTAAAACGAACCGTTTTATGAGGATTATGATTGGGGGTATGATGGGGAATTAGTGGGAATGGGGACTTTTTTTTGGTAGATTCCTGGGATATCATGGGACATAGGGATATGATCAATAATTGTGTGATACAATGTAAAACCAACGATATCCAATTTGGAGCGGATGGATCCAAATTAAAATGGCCGTTCGTATTACAAAAAAATAATTGATTTTTCGGGTACCACATTTACGTTCCCCAATGGCGATACGATGTTTGATATGAATGGGATATGTTTTTCAACATCAATCAACCATATATCATTTGAATTTTGCGGCAAGTTGAGTTTGTCATACTGTATATGAATTGGTTGTCCAAATACGGCATAGGATGGGATGAGGAAACCCACCGACATATGACGATATAATAAAGGCAATAAGGGATATGATTTATGGATGGTAATGGGATGTAATCAACAATATGATTTGGGTTTTGTCTGAAAATATTGGGGAAAACCAAGATTTTACTATATAATCATAGTTTTCCATATGTTGTGATGGCCATGAATTCATTTGGTATAGTCGGACAAACCCGTTTGACATCAACAAAATCACTTGAAGTCAGAAGATTTCAAAGACAAATTTTGAAAATGTGTTGAAAATACGGTAGAAAATTTATATCTAAAAAAAAACAAAAGGGATATTATACTGGATCTAGTGAGCCATGAGATCTTTGCACGACACAAGGGAAGTGTGAAATATTAGTGTGACAAATCCATTTTCTTCATGACTGATACAGCTGACCATTGGGTATACCGACCTGTTGTTTGTTTTCCGGCCTGTATTGAAAAGCTGACCGTAGAAACAAGGAGCAGTAGAAAAGAAGCGCATCCTGACGGTGATTGACACGCCAAAGTGGAACACACCGGTTGGTTTTCCCAAAATGATGAGAACTGGGTTTTTGGTTGCCCCAATTTCAGACAAACCCATTTTTATTGCAAGTAAAAATTTCCCCAGTTTACTTCATACGACAATCGGGATGTGTAAACAGGCTACAAGTAACATGTTTGGTGGTCAGCAACTCAGAACAATCACCATTGGATCATGTCCTGAACGGTCTTAGTTGGTTTACGGAATTTCCATGACGCGTTTTTTGATTCCCAATGGGGTAGCAAAAAAAAACACCGAATCAACCAAAGTTCTGTTTTCTTTTGGCTTGTCAGCGGCATGTCTGCTTTCCATGGCTCAGAATTGCTAAATTTGTCGGCTCCAAATTTTTAACTGATTTTGTGACTAAACATAACACATCGCCATGCACATACAATCACATCATTCCACAACAAACAATTTTTAGAAAAACATGAAAAAAATCGAATTGGGACACAACTCGGTAGATGCTGGAAATCGCGAATGCTGTTTTCATCATTGTTGTGTTTGATGGTACGGCCTTGAACCTGACCTGATTGTGGAGGCGTGCGAAACAAAAATTATAGAAATCTTTGAAAATACAACACATCCAGTTCCACATCAAAACACGTCATCCCGAGTATACCATCCCCATTCATCCCCTGCTTCACACAGTGTCACCCGCATTTTTCTTGCTTTCATTCATACCAAGCGAACGAGCTATCTGCACAAAAATCCGACTTCAACCAGCTACCATAAGCGAATGGGTTCAAAGTTCAATTATGCATCATTTCCACCAAAAAAACTGCTGGGGCTGTCAAAACTTTTGAAAGGGTTGATCCCCCGAAGTGCTCACATGTTAGGTCAGCAGAGTGCACAGTCACCTATGTTTTCATCTCGCTAGAGCCACTGATACCATGGTTGCATTCACACATTGTGAGTGCTCTGTACGGCATGATTGGAATGCCACAAGTATATTGATACCCCGCTTCGATTTGAGGCACTTTTGCGACTGAAATCGCCACATTGGAAGTCACATGTCATGGTGGACAAGAGGTGTATCAAGATGAATAAACTACCATTGTTCACAAAAGGCTCCCAAATTGTTTTGGTATCGTCCAGCCACGACAATGTCACAGAAAACTGAATAACCATGGGTATCGCGGCATCGTGCCTAGATTAGATTGGGATAAAGCGCCATCATGCGCATCTTCAGATATTCTCTGTACATTTGTTCTGGAAACAATCTAACTTCCCTAATGCGCTGAGCTCTCAAACGTTGACCTTCAGGTAAGTGATTCTCCAACACATCCAAGTCGTTCCAATCGACACCAATAGCAAGAATTTCAGCTCCTGGACAACGGAGATCCAGGAAGGCTCACATGCTCCCTTGAAATTGGTGTTGAAGGTTCACGTTGAAATCCACCTGTTGGCATAGCACCGGACACAGTTGATGCAACTGCTGGTGCAGGGGTAGTAGCCACAACTGGTTCTGGTGTGTCCATTTCCATCGGATCATGCTCTCTTGGTTCTTCTTCTCCTTCTTCATCACTCAAACCAACCATGTTCATCTCCAAAGTATCGAGTTTTTCCACACCACGTTTCCTTCTCACTATTGTGGGTGGGCGAACATGGCGTGACAATCCAAATGGAGTCTCACGGAAATACTCCTCACCAGAGTCTGCATCCTCAGTTTTTGGCAAGACTCGGTACTGCCGCACGCTATAAGTTTCAAGGTCCCAGTCATCCACATACTGGATGTCCTTCTGGGTCAACTGAATTTGCTCGGCCGCCCAACGCAGAATCTTTGATATCTTCTCGCTCTCTTCTCAACCAGTTTGTTGAAAAAGTAGCTAATGAAGAAACCGACAATCAAGAAAAACACCGCATACAAAATCATGAAGAGACGCCTGTGGACAAAGAGGTCATGAATCAAAATTATGTTATACTGCACCTCGTCACCAGAAAAGCCAGCTGCCAACGGCTGCAAAGCCGAAATGGCCAATGCCTTCAAAGGAGGCTTTGAAAGCTGTGTTTGCGCGTTCTTTGCTCCTTCGCTCAAAGTTCCAAAGGCAATCCTTTGAACCATCTTCATACTCTGTCCCATAGTTTTCTTTCGAAGATGTTCATGCCTGCAAGAAACATGCAGAAGGCTCTCCTTGCCCTATTCAACTTCTTGGTTCCAAGATCGGACATGTTGAACAAAGTGCTCACACTGTCCATAGCCACCATGCTGTTCTTGATCATCAGCTGCAACCAATGAAACTTGGTGTCCACATGCTTAAGCTTTCCGACGCCCAATCTCTGAGCGAATGCTCTGCAAGAGCTAGAGTCAGTGACCATTCGTGTCTTGACCTGTTTCTTCAACAGGAAATTCCAAAGTCGGCTGATGTAGATTCCTTCAGCAGCTCCTCCAACTGCTGCAAAATATTCACTTTCGCAGGAACTCAAAGCAATCGATTTCTGTGTCCTCGACCACGATGTGACTGGGCGACCATTGAAAAAAATCATTGCCCAATCTGAATCAATGAAAATTTCCACACAACCTTCTGCATCTTCAACTTCTCGGCCATAGATGGAATCAAATTTCGTTCCAGCCACCTTGTAAGGAAGAAACAGTGCAAAGGTTCGTGTTCCAGCAAGGTACATGATGAGATGTCGAACTCGGGCACAAGCAAGTCTTGTTGGGCGAGACATGAACTGAGCAAGATGTCTCACTGTGCTGGGTATCCCATCGATCAGCAGATAATATAAGCACAGCAAAGTTCCCATAGCTGATCTGAAACGGTGGGCTTCTGAACTGTCAAGTTCTCCATCTTCTCCATTCCACTGAGCCATATCTGGTGTGGCCTTTGGTTTATATGCACCAAGGTCGTAGAGCTTCACCAACTCATCAACATACTTCTCATGTGGAGCGATCAGCACACCATTGGTTGTGAAGTAGCAGCGCTTCTTCAAGAAACGCACTGGTTCTTGAGGATCTTGATGTGGACTGGGAACAACATCCCCGCCTGAAATAGTGAATCGTTTCTCTATCTCTCCAACCAACCAAACAAGTTCTCCTCTTTCTCCACAAAGGATGAGATCATCCACATGGGAACACATCACCAGGCTCTTGGTTTTGTGTCGAAACAAGCTTGGCAGCAAAGGAGTGCTCTCGAAACCATCTTTCATGTGCTCTGTCAGGAAGTCAAAGAAATGGGCGGCAGCGTTAAGCTGGCCGGGAAGGCACCTTTGAAGAATCCAAAACCCATCAACTCCTGGAACGTGATCTTCGGGTTTCCACCACTGCGGAACTGTCACGACAACGCATTCACGCCGAGGGACAAGGAGTAAGACATCTTTGATGTCCACAGAAGAGAGACATCAGCCGTAGATCATGTGCAGCAACACCACCAATCGGCTTCCAATTCCAGCTGTTGGTGCGAAGGTCTCAGCTGTGTTCGTGGAATATCCTTTGGACCTCGTGCACAAATCTACACCTTTCCATCCTCCTCTGTACCGCCATCAAAAACTGACCTTGTTGGCAGCACCACACCCTTCTGCAGCTCTTCTTCTGTAGGATCACGCAAGACCTTCGTCTCTAAGAGTCTTCACAGTTCTTCAAAGCTCGCAGCAATCTTCACTTCCTCCAATTGCTCTGCAGAAAGCTTGGGAGGTTCTCCAACTGATTCTGGCTCTTCTTGGGTTTCTTCTTCAATGTCATCTGCTAGGATCTCATCATCCCTCCAAAAAGTCCAAAAACCTCTGCTTCCCAGAGTTCGTCATCAACGTCTCCAACTTGCAAAGCGTTTCCAGCAAAATGTGGCGGACAGAGACCTCTCGATGATGGGCCGCTTTCAGGGCTGGTACGCGGTGCTTTGGTCACTGGTTCTGCCAATGAGCTGCCATCCAAAAGAGAGCTGTTCTCACCTGAGTCGAGCAGTCTTGCTGGGAACAAACTGTTGACCTTCTTGGTTTCTTTTGCTCTCGGTGTGCTCTTAGATCTCTGCATCCTCCTCCTCGAGATATTCTTTGGCACATGTTTGAACGTCAACTGTCATAGTCAGTGACTTCATCTCCAGCTTTCTCAGGGTGCCCTTCAGTCACCGTTTGAGGAGAAAACTGGGGCATCAAACAAATCGAACCATCATCTTGCGCATCTTGTGCTTTCTTGCGGAGTCGTCTGGAGTCACAAAGCTGGCACTCTTTCAACTCTTTCCCCGATGGAAATGAGGTTTCAGCAGGTGCCGACTCTGCCCGACTCCAGCAAACACTTCGACTAAGGACATCAAAACTGGCACAAAAGTGTGGTAAAACCGAAATTTTGCATCTCCAGCCTTCTTACGGAATCTACTTGAGTCATGAAATCGAAACTCTTCGCCCAATTTTCATCTAGTTTTAAATATATGTGGTTCTTGAACCGGATGATACTGAACTCTGAGCGGACTCTGAGACGGCCTGAGAACTCAAATAGGTTTTTAGTCTGTAGTCTGAGACCAAGCGGTCGTCAATGTGACCAAGTTTGGTCCCTTTAATCAGTCTGAGTCCCTAATTAGTTGATTCTTCTTGAATCGGGATACTGCAGCAGGTCTGAAGGATAGTCGGTTGGCTTTCGCCTAGTCTTTTTGTTTTTGGGCCCTGGCCCCTTTGTTTGTTGTTGCTTCTTGCGGAACCAGAATACGCAGATCTTGTGCAAACACAAGAAGCGGCGCAGCGGTTCTTTTTCACAGCTCGGACTTGAGCCAAACCACACAGGTTTGACAGCTCAGCCACTCTTCTTCTTAGAAGAGTTCTGCAGAGTAAAACACAGTGACACCCAAACGTCTTCAAACTTCTCAAACTACTTCAAAAGAGTTCCCAAGCTTCCAAAAACGTTCTCCAGCTTCTCCAAAGTAAAACGTCTTCAGCTCAAACTCACAAATAACCTACAAAACTCCTGCCAAATAAGTTCACAACATCAAGTTCCTAAGACATGGGTCAAACAACATCCAAAAACACCAAAACCCACAAAAACAAACGAAAATCCATCTGCAAGCTCTTCCATGCACAAACTGGTTCCATTTGGTTCCAAATTGGTTCCTACCTGGTTCCTATAGGTTCCTATGGGTTCTATAGTTCAGAGATCGGTTCCTACAAACTTAAAAATGGTTTCCTAACTGTTCACATGCACATGCATTGTTCCAAGATAGGTTTACAGATGTTCAAGTAGGTTCAAGGTGGTTCAGTACACTGTACATCCTCTCACCAAACTCTCACACCCCTTCTTGGACAGTAGTGCTGTACACCGAAGTACCTATAGACTACCATACCGTTTGCAAGGCAACTAAGTTCTGAACTTCTCCAACTAAGTTCCA